AAGAGTGATTCTTGTGCACCTTGACTGGCTCTTGTGATGTTGCTTCTTGTGGATCAGCTTCTTCATTTAAACCAATCGCCCGGTTTTCATCCTCACTGTTGAGTTGTGGTACACACACACTACGCTGTGTAACACCATCTTGATAAAAACCAACTCTGTCATCAAAGACTACATTCACCTTCTCATCGATTGTCCTCGTTCTTGAGTTATACACCTGGTACGCTGAGCTGTTTGTTGAGTAACCAAGAATCATTCCAACATCACAGTTGGAGTCGAACTTTCCAAGATGATCTTTGTCGTTTAGAATGTAGCAAAGACACCTGAATACATGAAAAAATCCAAGGTTTGAGGTTTTTCCTCGGAGTATCTCATAAGGTGTGGTTTTGGTCTTAGGCTTCACGTAGACTCTACTGATAATGTAACAAGCCGTGTTAATGGCTTTTGCCCAGAACTTTGATGGAACATGATTCCCTGCTAGCATGGCTCTTGCCATCTCTTGAAGTGTTCGATTCTTGCGTTCCACAACTCCATTTTGTTGTGGTGTTCGTGGTGCAGCATACTGATGTTGAATTCCTTGATCCTGACAAAACCGGTCAAATTGTTCATTCTGAAATTCCCCTCCATGATCACTTCTAATCTTGATGATTCCACCTCTTTCTTGTTTGAGTTGAAGTGCTAGAATCCTGAAACTCTCGATTGCATCAGACTTATTTCTCAGAAACCTCACCCATGTAAACTTGGAAAAATCATCAATTAACACAAAAATATATTGCTTTCCAGCAATACTTTCAGGTGAGATAGGACCCATGAGGTCCATATGAATCAGTTCTAGGATAGATTTAGAGTGAATTTGAGATACCTGTTTGTGTTGAACTTTGACTTGTTTACCTTGACAGGAAGCACCACATACAGTGTCAGAATGATCTTCAAGGTTGGGAACACCTCGAACTACTTCTGCTCGCACGAGTCTTGAGAGGCCATTGGTATTCATGTGAACAAGTTTCTTGTGCCATAAGTCGATCTGCGAGTCTCTTACTGACAGGGATTTGCTCGGTGTCTTCCAGAAATAGCAGTTGTTGTTTGATCGAAATCCACACATAACAAGATTTTCTTGAGGGTCAACTGCTTGACACTCTCTGTTGTTGAAGATGACTTGCAGACCCTCATCACACAGCTGACTGATGCTAATAAGATTCGATTTGAGTCCTTTTACAAAGTAGACGTTTGTAAGTCTTGGAAGGTCAGCTCTCTCCATATGACCAACTCCACGGATTCTACCTTCTCCACCATCACCAAATATTACTCTTCCTTCCTTGACAGGTTCCATGATTGTCAAGAACTTCTCATTTCCTGTCATATGCCTTGAGCAACAACTATCAAGTACCATGGTATCTAAACAACATTGTGTTCTTCTGTGGAGGTGAAAGCAACCTTGGCGAGACTCGAAGCTGGGACAAGGTCTTCTTCAAAATACTCCTCAATTACCACCATATTGCACACAACTTCTTTTCCTGGTCTCTGTTGATAGACCTCTGTCTCATTCATCTTGGCAGGTGTTGGTGTTCTGTTTTTGAAGTTAGGATACAAATCTGTTTTGGCGATCCACACATGTCCGATCCGGCTTGGTTCAATGAAACATTTTTGGAGTGACCATGCTCGTTGGTATTGAGCTTTTCGAAAATAACAGTAGGCAACCTTATGTCCTTGTTTACCACAAAAGTGACATCCATTGCGCTTGTGTGGTACCTATTTTTTCACAATTGTCTCAACCTTCTTCTGGGGTACAGCTTCTTTCTCTAGCTCAGTAGGTGTTTCTAACACTCCACTTCTAACAAACCTTACATCCGTTACATCTTTGCAACTTGAGCTTCGATATCCTTGATAGCCTAAACCCAAGGCAATCTTTGGATTTTGTCCAAGTGAAAGAATGTGGTCCAAAGTATCTGATCCATTGTTGAGCATCCTCATATTCTTGTAGTTGTCACTCAATTCTCTTTGCAATAACCGACTCTTCTCAAGCTCCTCACTCAGCAGCGCCATAGCTTGATCATAATTGGTCTCCAAATTCTTCAAGGAATGGGCCTGATCAGTAACGGTTCTTTCATGAAGCAGTATATCAGGACTCTTCTCACTTTCCAAGATACCAGCTGCAGTCTTTCCTTCAGTAGTGGGTATGAGTTCAAAAATGTTGACATGTTCCTTGAGAAATGCTTTGTCTTTGATCAACTGCAAATTTTCAAGACTTAGCTCCGTAAACTTGTCAAACAAACTCTTAAATTATGTCTTTAGGTTCAACTCCTTCTTCTCATGTTCATGATCTGAATCTGAATCTGAATCTGAGCTTGAAAAGATGTCTTGAGTATTGTCGTGTTCCACATGAGCCACAAAATCAAGCATGAGTTCTTCATCATCACTCTCACTTTCTGACTCGGTATCGCTGAACGATAACAATGCTTTGTCTTTCTTTAGATTGTTAGGACACTCACTCCTGGTATGTCTATACCCTTTACACTCGATGCATTTGAGTTCCTTTCTCTTGGCTAGAGGACATTCACTTCGAAAGTGCCCAACCCCTTCACACTCATGACACTTCAGATCCTTTTTACGATTACTTCTTCCACCTTCATTTCTGTTTTGTTGTCCAGATGAGCGATCTCCTTCTCTCCCTTGAAACCGGTTGTTGTTGTGGTAGTTTCCCTTTTCTACTCTTTTGATCATCTTGTTGAAATTCTTAGCCATGAGACTCATATTCTCTTCAATACGCTTTACTCTGTCCTCTTCTTTGGATTCTGCTGTGAATGCAACTCCTTTTTGTCCCTTGGTGGTTTCTTCACTTCGTTCCAGATCATGTACCTTCAGAATTCCAGCCAACTGATCAAACTTCATCTCATCCGTATTCACTGCAATCTTAAGCACTGCCTTGTATGCTTCAAACCTAGGTGGAAGACATCGCAAAACTTTCTTAACAAGCTTCTTCTCATTATACTTTTTCCCAAGAACTGAAGCTTCATTAGCTATTGAGCTGATCTTGGAGACTCATCATCCTCCATTCAATCTTGAGGCAAGGTGATCGATTCTGGTTCTTCTCACAATGGTGTTTCCTTCAAAGTGGTTGATTAGAGTATCCCAAGCTTCTTTAGCAGATTCACACCCTTGAATAATTTTGAACTGATCGAGATCGACAGCAGAGAAAATGGTAGTGAGCGCCTTTGAATTGAATTTTGAAGAAGCTTTATCAGAGTCAGTCCATCTTTCTTTTGGCATGGGTGCTATAGACTTGTCTTCCATTACCATAGTAGGTGCAGTCCATCCTTGTTCAACAGCAGTCCAAGCGTCCTCATCAATGGCCCGTATGATGTGCCGCATCCTTGCCTTCCAGTGTTCAAAGTTTCCTTCATCGAGCATGATTGGCTTTTGCAAAGCCACGAGTTCTTTCATGGTTTCCATGACTGTCGCAGGATCTCAACCTGTGAGTAGACGTGCAAGTCTAGGGAGGTGACCCGCTCTGATACCAAATGAAATTTCGTATGGATACCACAATAGAACAACTTGAGCAAATCCAAGAAAACTAACTTGCTTTATTAAGAATCACCTAAACAATCTCACTAGATCTGTTTAATCCGATTTACTCAACGTCACAGCTTGACTTGAGACGGACCAATTCTTAATCTACCCAATGCACAGTGGTCGAGACATACCTCACCACTTGCTTAACCAGAATCGCAGCTTAGAACACTGAAGCTCGATAATCCCCAAAAATCCCAAAAGCCGTAACCTAGCTAATGAACTCTATCACCAATATATACTCGCGTATCCTATTGTGATAAGCAAAGATTCTCCCAATATCTTCTCGTTTGTTGCCTAACAAACATCATAGAATCTTGGGTCATTAACTTCCAAACGGCTCCCTGGTATTTCGCTCAATGTGTAACACACGCTCTTCTTTGTGTGACACATCAGCCTTACGCTCAAACACCCTTGAGTTACCTTGTGTGTAACACAACCTCCCGTCTGTGTGACACACACCAATCATCATGCTCAGAATCCTGAGCTTACAATGTTCTCATTGTTTAGGTTCTGAACGGCTTTGGTATGGTGAATCTAACCATGGCTTCCACAGAAAAACTGTAAGAACCGTTAAATCACGATAGTCTGCCAAAATCCAAGAATCAAGTTTCTAGTGTAGATTATGGATGAAAAAGAATTTTAGTAGAGTATACTTTGTCATGTCTCATTTGATGTATCTGTCTTTGAGTTGATATTAAATACATGCATCATTGATATTAAATAATGTAGTAAATTTATATATAAACATTACAAATTTTATATATTTTTTTGCGTCAAAAATATATTCTAGTATTCTGATTAGAGGTGATATGAAATAGAACAACCAACAATGATTAAACTCCAAGGAAAAGTATGAGATATCATAGAAATTTTATATTGTGTTTTTAAGTTGAAATTAAATTAATGTTAGTGTATAATAATTATTTAGTAATAATTATAGTATTAATTAATTATTAGATATTTAAATAGTTTTAATTATTTTAAAAATAAAAAAAATATTTGTAGAGATATAATAAAATTTTATTAGATTGAAATCTAAAAAAGTTATATAAGTATCGTTTTAGTTATTTATTTTATAAATATTTAGTTGAATAATTAAGTTGTTATATGATATACTAGTATATATATATCTATATTCCAAATTTAGTAATATTACATGGTATATCAATATCAGGTCAAAATTATGCTTTTATTTCAGTAACTTAGATTTACCTTAAGCATCTTTTGTTAAAAAAAATAAAGATTTACCTTTAAGTATCTTAATTACACACTTAGCCTTTGATCCTTCTGTAGATGTTACAGAAAAAAAGGTAAAGAGAAGAAAGCGCCACGAGGGTACGAGGCCTTGAGGCACAAAAAAAAAGAGAGAAAATTTTCTTTTAATATCACGAGTGTGTTTCTTGTGTAGTATAAATGTAATAAACACACATATTATTCATCCTCCTCTCGCTTCTTTCTCTCCACTCTCAATATCAACGTTAACCAACAAAAGAATAAAATCTTCTCTACTTCTTCCTCCTCCAACGAATATCGGATGACGACGCATCTCAAAAAAAGACCCAGGTTAGAGAACCTCTCGGTCAACCACTTAGACGAGTTGCCCGACGATCTCGTCATCTCTATCCTCCGCAAACTCAGTTCCTCAGCTTCTTCTCCCGCTGATTTCCTCAACATTCTCGTCACGTAAGTCATCAGGCTTTATCCGAACGACGTAAGACCACCTAATTCGTTATTTTGATGAACTCTCCTTTGTCATTTCAGATGCAAGAGACTGAATCGATTGGGTTTACATCCTCTGGTTTTATCCAGAGTCGGAACTCAAACCCTAGCCGTTACGGCCGAGAAATGGTCTGTCTCCTCTCACAGATTCCTCAAACTCTGTGTTAATGCCGGAAACGTTGACGCTTGCTACACTCTCGGAATGGTTCATCTCTCTCTCTCTCTAGATATTGATTTATTTATTTTTTAGATATTGATTTTTTTTGTTTTTTTTTTTGGGGCAGATCCGATTTTACTGTCTTAAAAACCCAGTGAGCGGCGCATCTTTAATGGCTAGAGCGGCGATTAAGTCTCACGCTCAGGCGCTTTACTCGTTGTCGGTGATACAGTTTAACGGGAGCGGTGGTAACAAATCCGACAAGAATCTCCGCGCAGGGGTCGCTCTCTGCGCGCGTTCTGCTTACCTTGGCCACGTCGATGCGCTTCGAGAGCTCGGTCACTGCCTACAAGACGGCTACGGCGTTTCTCGTGACGTAGCCGAAGGTCGTCGGCTTTTGATTCAAGCCAACGCGAGGGAGCTCGCGGGTTATCTCTCTCTCAAGCCTGGAACCGATCTCAACGGCGGCTGTTTACCGGTTCAGGAGATTCATCCAGTAAACCGGTTTTTGAAGGATTGGTTTGATTCGGGTCGGGTTGTTTTAGCGGAGGAGTTGAGGATGTGTTCTCATGGCGGTTGCGGAAGGCCGGAGACTAGGTCGCATGAGTTCCGGCGATGTTCGGTCTGTGGGAAAGTGAATTATTGTTCGAGAGGATGTCAGGCGTTAGATTGGAGAGCTAAGCATAAGATGGAGTGTGCCCCTTTAGATCTCTGGGTTCCGGCGGCAATCGAAGTTGGTGACGTTGATGCTGTGGATGTTGAGAATCATGCTCCTCGATAACTGCTCTCCTCATTTTTAGTTTTCTAATGTTGAATCAGAAAATGTCTAATTTGCCAACAGCCTGTCTCTGTAACCTTTTGAATTTGTTTTGGGTTATTAATTCGATCAGCTTTTCATTTTTTGTTCATCTTAACTACTAATGCAGCATAATCTTTTATAGATAATTATTAATTTATATCTTATTAATCCAAAATTAGCATGATAAATTATTATTATATTTTCGGTAAGTTTAAATAAAACATCCAGTTATTTATATTTGATAAAAAATTTCATCGATTCATATATGTTTATTGTTGTGTTGAAATTTTAAAAACACTAACATATTGGAAATAGTGTAACAAATCTAATTATATAAAGTAAGTTTTTCATCACTACACTTCTGCTACGTCATCAATTCATTTCATTTCGTCGTGACACATGTATAAGACGTGAAAATGCTGCGTTCCACTCTGTTTAACATGTTATGGGTTTAATGACCCAATGTCTCATGCACCCTGGCCCATCGACCGTGAAAAGTCTACCCTCGTTACCCTTTCCTTTGCAAAATTAGGGTTCACCGATCTCTGAAGTTCTGCAGCAACAATGGAGTTTCGTGATGAAGGGTAGACAAATCATAAATTAGAAGCTCTGAATGTGGCTTCCATGGCGTGTTTCGTCTACGGTTCTAAAAATCTGAACTGTCACGATGTTTTGATTCATCGCTTTAAACAGCCGACTTAACTCCATAGACCGACATCAAACACGATATGACATTGAATGAGAGTTATCCTCTTCAAGACGGTGTAACTTAATCAATAAAAAGGTTAGCCTTCTTATCGATTTGATATACGATTATTCTGTAAGCGTTTGATTGGAAGCGTTAGTACCTAAGTCTTGGTAGTTCGACGATTCGTTTTCAGGTTTTTAATTTTATCCTACTCTGATAATTTTATGAAATCTGATGCAGATTCTTAAAAAGAAACAAGCGTCAATTCTTCGAATGATTCACTTCTTCTACTCTTTTGTGAGCGGCTCTAGGTCTCCTCATATGCCTTATTATCTTTTCTGATTGAGCAGTGTGGTTGGTGCTGCTTAAGAACAAAGCCTGCTTATTTTGCTTCTCATAATACTTATCATAGTAATAAACCTGAAGAGATACTGCTCCTTACATTACGACCTTATAGAACAGTATTGTCATAATATCTGTTCTCATCCTTTTAGAACTTCTATATCTGTTCTCGCAGGATCCATGTATGTCGTGATATCGTTTAATGTGGGTCACACATGAGTCATAAGTTTTGTCTGAAGCTTGCAACTGATGTGTCTGTTAAATAATGTTTCTTTTTTCATCTCTTTTGTAGACTGCTTTCAGTGGGGTTACAAGCAAGGATGCAGTACATGAAGATCATATGGCATGTTAGAGTGTTGTAGAAGGCAATAATAAATGACAAAAGATAATACTTCTAGAGGATCCAAGTGAGCCAAGCTCAAGTGGAGGAACATCCTCCAGGTGAAACAGGGGGATATTCCTGCGTGAGACAAGTCAGTGACAAGTATAGGAAACACTCGCAAGATCTGTTGTGTGGATCCAAGCCATGTTCATGTCAAAAAAGGTTCAAGATAATTATAGAAGGATGAAACTCTAAAGAAGCTCATATAAAAACAATGCTTGTTTTTTTTTTTCATTTTTGAACTTCTCAACCACAACTCATGAAGAAGATTGTAAGGTTGTGGCGTTGGGTGAGAAACACAGTTCGTAAGTAACTTATCTAATTTTGGAATCTTAAGAGTTTTTTCTGCAACAAAAACACTACTCGACTACTGTGAAATGCCTTCTCACGGGTAAGTGGAGTGGTATCAATTCTTACGGGTTCTCCTAGCACCTGAGTCTTCAAACAAAGCAGATGGCAACTCTTCTTGAAGATGAAAAAGGTATAGAAATGTCTATTACTAAGCTTTAGCAGAAGAAACTGAGTAAAATGTTTGGTGTACCCTCATGGATCCTTTAATACAAGATTTTCCAGTTCTTATATTGTATTTGGGTTTGTACTTAAAACGCTTTTAATCGTTGAGACTTAGAAATTTTGTTTTTTGTTGGGGTAAAATGTGAAGGAAACTTTCTTTTTGTGTACATGATTTTGTCTTTGAAACGTCGCAGATTACATAGGAACAATTATTCTTGACCAATCACCACACCGATGCTTATTTTATTTACATAATGACAATTCTTTTTGGAGTTATTCTTGGGTTCACCCTTTAGGGTGAACCTCTAGGTTCACCACCAAATAGAATTGCATTATTTCATATTTGATATATTTTGGAAACAAAATCTTATTAAGTTATATTATGTTTTTAAAAATTAAAATACAAAAAGAAGTAAAAAATAAAAAATAATAATATTTAATAAAAACGAAAATAAATTTTCTTAAAGAAAATATTTTAACACTAAACCCTAAACTCTAATCATAAACCCTAACCCCTAGGTAAATTATAAACCTTTGGATAAATTTTATAAAAATATTCTTTAAAAAAAATATTTTAACACTAAAACACTAAACCCTAAACTCTAATCCTAAACCCTAAACTCTTGGATAAATCATAAACACTAAATCCTAAACTCTAATCCTAGACCCTAAACCCTTGGTTAAATCATAAACACTAAATTTTTAAAACACTATAAGATTTATCCAAAGGTTTATGATTTATCCATGGGTTTAGGGTTTAGGATTAGAGTTTAGTTGTTAAAATATTTTCTTTAAAAAGAATTATTTTATTTTTAATTAATTATTATTATCTTTTATTTATTCTTATTTTTAAAAACATAATATAACTTAATAAGATTTTGTTTCTTTTTTAAAAAGATATCAAATATGAAATAATACAATCCTATTGGATAGTGAACCTCTAGGTAGTTGATTTTATGTACATGATTTTATATACATCGAGATGCTTATTTTGTTTCTCATAATAGTTATCATAATGTTATTAATAAACTCTTCAGGTATACTGCTCCGTAGAGCATCTTTAACCCTTAAGAACCATTTGGCTCTTAATTGTTGTTTTGTCTGATTTTCTTTCTAAAAAATTAAAAACAATCCAGTCGCGAGCCACCATATGTTAGTGGAGTCCGCGAACAGTAAAAAAACCCAGCTAACTTTGCCTCTTGCAGAAGAGTTGAAAGAGCTTAGTTTTATAAAAAAAGTGTAGGTCCCACCCCTTAAGAACCAAGCTAAGGGGTGGAGATAATAATGTTTTTACATTACAAGACATATCAAGATGCAGAACAATCCATATACTGCTAGTGACAGGTTTCTACAAATTTTGTTTTGAAAGAAATTATGAGATGAGAGCATTCAAACAAATCCAGTTTTTGTTTTCATTTTCGATGCTTCTTGCATAATCTCTATTTTTCTTATGTGCGAGCTAGCTGCACAATTCATTTGGTTTAATAAAAGTGATTATGTCTTTGGTTCTTAACATTAAAATAAACGATGACAATATTGTACACCAATGGGGCAGGGACTGTGTAAGCATACACATTGTTAGTATATGCATTACCTTCTGACGCAAGTAAGCTTGGTTAGGTCTCTTACCACCATGAAACCCTTTGTCATCCTGAACCTTTAGACAAAGTACCAAAAACACTACAATACTATCTGTACTTAAGTTCAGTTTCTTTGGAAAATATCACTCTTTCTTCGATGAAGGTGAAGATTACCTTTTAAGAAGATCTGATAATAATCAACTTAGCAATCTTTGCAAACCCATAAAATACAAATTATTTACAGGAAGTTTTAAAAGGCCAGCAACTTCAACACCATTAAAAGTGCATGTAGCTTATCCAATATGTCACCTCAACACTTGTTCTCCAGACTAAACTGCTCTCACAAATCAAATTGACCAGTATTGTATACAATAAACCAGGGCAAACAAAACAACTAATCACATTTAATTCTTCTTTTAGTTCATTTCCTGGAATCAACTCCTCCCGCAAAATCTATATTATAATAGTTCACTTCTAAGGTTCCTAAGACTGTCCACGTCAGCAAGTTTGTGGGTCCACGCATTTAAATTTTAAAAGCTTAGAGTTTGTTTAAAATGAGTATGAACAATGAATATACTTTAGCCCAGTGGTATAAGGCTTCTAATGAAGTCCACAAGTGTGTGGGTTCAAACCGCGTAGCTGTTATGTATTTTAGTTCTTTTTGGTTTGAATTATTATCATATGGTTTTTTAGTTTTAAAGTTTTTATGTTTTTTTCCTCTGGACTTATTGTTTAAAACGAAAAAAGTGGGAAAAATCCTAAAGTTTGACGAACTCAGACAAAANCTTCTAATGAAGTCCACAAGTGTGTGGGTTCAAACCGCGTAGCTGTTATGTATTTTAGTTCTTTTTGGTTTGAATTATTATCATATGGTTTTTTAGTTTTAAAGTTTTTATGTTTTTTTCCTCTGGACTTATTGTTTAAAACGAAAAAAGTGGGAAAAATCCTAAAGTTTGACGAACTCAGACAAAAAAACAACTAAAAAGGATAAAATACGAACAGTCCAAAAAATAAAAAACAAAATGAGTCCCACGTGGTACTATCATGTCCTAATATATATTTTTTTGTTAGAACATATTTTCTAATATATTTTTTTCAAAAAATTATGTATGTGAAATAAAATAAAACAACAAAATTTAAGTTTTTTTATTTATAAAATAACTATGTAATTTCTCTTCAATTTTTAATAGTTTAGTTCATTTTTATCAGACTCCGGCGAATGGATTTCCACAGTCGATGAAGCCGTAAATAAAAATGCCATATTATTCATGAACAAAATCCAAACTTACAAAAAAACATATCCAAACCTATCTATTGAAACCCAAACAACAAATATTAGCTTAAATTAAAGTTATTTTCAAATTGATAATCGTTTAGTACAAATATAAATACTATAAATAAATAATTATATCAACTTTTGACCTCTGATATAAAAATTATTTCCAACATAAAAAAATAAAAAACAAGATAGACACCTATTATTATAGACTAGAAACTATATTATAATTTCGTTATTCCTATAAACCTTACTTCACATATAAATAACATTTAACACATTATATATATAATATTTTCACTTTACAATCTTGCTACATTCTTTCCATTTCATCATTATTTGGTATTATTAGAATAAACCACTAAACCAACAACCGAAAAAAATACAGGCAAACATCA